TCAGTATATTCTTTCCATCTTCTTTTAATACTTCTTGGATCATTTAATATTCTGTCTAAAGCATCCCTGATCATAGCAACTCTAGGTTTGAATTTGTTCTTCAGTAAACTCAAGACACAAAGACTAATTTTAACTAAATAATCTTACTTGCTGACTTCAAGTCAGAACCATCTCATAGCTCACTCTCCCAGCAGGCTTTCAGGGGCTAGAAATCATACAGAAGGAGAATAGTCTTCTTTTTCTTGATGAATAGCCGGTAGATCCAAAATGCCAGAGAATATCACCTTTCAGTTAGCAGCAAAACTCTCCCTACAAATTATGTTGTCATTGTTGTTGTTGTTGATTGTTGTCGAGTCAAGCATGACTCATAGTGACTCATAGTGAACAAAAGACTAAATGCCTTTCTATAACTAGGGGTTTTTTTTCCAAGTTCATAGAGTTTCCATAGGCATGTGGTTTAGGCAGTGGATGCAACTCTTGCTTGCAAACCTATTTTACAATTGGGAGCGCGACAAAACACTGTCCACACTGGGGAAACCATTATGGAATTTCACATCCCAATGGCACAAGTTTCAGAACACAGCAAACCCAGATTACCTCAGTACAGCAAATTGACAACTAAAATTATATACACATCCACTAGAGTGCCTGTTGTTGTTATGTACCGTTGAGTCAGAACCAAATCATAGCTGATCCTCCAGCAAGTTTTCATAGGCACTAAATTGCATATGAAAAGTGAATGCCTGTTTTGCTCCCACTGAGCACCTAGTGAATTTGAACCAACTGCCTTCAGAATGGCAGAGCAGCTGTTTACCACTTGACCACCAAACACTCATGTGCTACTGGAAAAATTTTTATCTACCTTAATGGGTGGAAAGCATGGAATAAAATATAAAATAAAAAATTATTTTTAAAAACTAACATAACCCTAAAATAAAAAAACACAAATCATATAAACACACACATGAATTATAAACATACTAAATTATATAACAAAGAGTAAAATATCTAAGTATTATGTTCAAAAACATATGTAGCATAAGTACAATAAGCTATCATTTTAATTAATGATATTTCAAATAAATTATGAATGGAATATAATTTTATTAATATAACAAAATATTTCCTATTTTATATATATAGTAATCACCATATCAGTGAGATAATACTAGAAAAATATTTCCATGCAAATTAGGATAGAAGAAAAATTTTGAGTCTAAAATTGCTTTTAAAATTCAAAGATAATAATGAAAAAACAAAAATAAGATTAAGTAAAAAGATAAGAAGAAAAATATAAGGACATAATTTCTAATATGCATTGAGATTTTCTATCTAAAAACATGAAAAAAAGTTGTAAAACAAATCTAACAGAAAATACTACTGACAAATAAATATATAAAAATAGGTAAATACACAGAAACACACAAATATATATAAGGCCCCTAATGCATTATTTGATACATTATATACAACACAAGCCATGGAATTTTCAATCATCCATACACTTGTGGAAGTTGGGCAATGAATAAGGAAAACCAAAAGGAGAATTGATGCCTTTCAATTGCAGTATTGGTGGAAATATTTACTATATCATGGGCTGTGAAAAGAACGAACAAATCTGTCTTGGAAAAAGTAGAGCAATGTTTCTTGGAAGTAAAGATGGTAAGACTTCGTTTCTTGTTCATTGGTCATGATATTACGAAAGGCCAATCCCTGCAGAAAGATGACATGCTTGGTAAAATAGATGACCAGCAAAAAAAGAAAATAAAAAACCAAATGTCTCAAAAAGATTAAATGGTACAGTGACGTCAACAACTAGTTTAAGGACAGAAGAGATGATAATAATGGTGAGGGATCAGGCAAGGTTTCCCTCCGTGCATTGGATCACTATGAGTGGGAGCCGATTAAATGACACTGAACAACAATAACAAGGATATCTTCAAAGAACAAACTAAAATATATATTTACACTTATTTATTGGCAGTCAACTCAGAAGCAGACGGACTCATTGGATTTTCTGAGGGTGTATATCTTTTAAGAGGAGACTGCCCATCTTTCTCTCCTCGCTTGTGAATTCAAACATGCAGGGAAATGTGGCCTCTGTGTCAGCAGAGCTACAGCCTATGGACTAAGACATCAGAACTCTGAAAAAAGGATTGTATTTGTTGTTAGATGTCATCAAGCCAACCAGGACTCATAGTGACTCTATGAACAACAGATATGAAACTTGCCCTGTGCTAAGCCAACCCCATGATCATTAACATGCTCTAGACCATTGCTGCCATCACTACG